ATTTCAAGAAAATAAATATAGGGTCCGAATATAGTGGCACTAATAAAAGTGAAAAGATATTAAATTACGAACAAATCATTAAAAATGAACACCATTTACACTTTTTAATTATGAAAATAGTGGGCAATAAGTTGGGGCAACAAAAGCTATTGTCAGACAATCCACTTCACCACACAAAAGAAATAATTAGGACATGAAACCTCTCCATAGAAGTCAACTAACAATAACATAGTACAATCCAAGATCCATTGAATGAATTAAAATCTCACTAAATATGATTGTTCATTCATTAATTTTATTCTTTAATTACATAACTTCCAGTCTATATTAGGGATGGCCATCGATAATCGGTATTATCGAAATATCGATATTTACCATCGATAGTATCTATTTGAACGACCATCGGTATCGTCCCTTCAATATTTTAATTTAAAAAAATAAATATTAAAACTATCGTTTTCGCAAAGCGCTAGAAATTAAATATGGATCTGATTGTTAGAAAATAATTATAATAATTTTGCCTGTTTGATATAGAATGTAGTGTGTAGTAGAGGAAAATATCGATATTTCGACAATCTCTTAGATGAGTTAAATAGCGCACGAGGGACCATTCTCATTTAATAAACTCAATTTGATCAAATTTGTTATTTAGTACCTTCTCAAACCAAGGCCACGAATTGCCAAAGAATTCTATTTGGGATGCAAATAAATTAACATTTCGCTGAATCCGATGTATGGAAACCATAATTGGTTGAATGAAAATTTCTGGTGAAAAACTGAGGATGACAAAGATGGATAGGAACTAGAAAATTAATTTTGAAATCAATCATGACACGGTTCGGTTGTTAAGTAAACAAGTGTGAATGAACACTATAGCCTTAGTACCAATGCCCTTCAGTCTGGCATACTGTATTAATACTCAAGAAAAAAAAAGAATTCGTTGATATATGTCCTCTCCAGGAGTATTTACTTTTTATGACAAAACCGACATTAAGTATCCGTACTGATCAATCGCTAAAAAACCTCTTTAGAAAATATTTATTGGAGATGCATTGCACTTAATTCATTGAGTTGATTTTATTTTTTTTATTTTTCATATTCGCACCTGTCACCGATTGGGGTGATAATCAGAGAATATGTAGATAAACTTCGTTTAGGCATTATATATCGTCGGTTTATTATAAAAAGTCAGTAAGTAACATTTCACAACATTAAATTACTGAGAAATTTAATGAATTTTCTCTCTTCGAAATCACAAAATTGCACTTTTGTAAAACTATATTTGATATATAAAAGGATTTGTGACATTTTGGTACACTTACCGTGTTCCTTTATCCCCACATATATTATTACAGTAAGGCACGAAATCGGTTTGTACCAAATATAAACTTCCTGTCATGCTCAAATACCATGAATGGGTTACCGTTGGATTCAGAATTTGACGGGAGGTTAGCGAATCGTACTCTCCGCTTTTGTTTTTCTTACTAAAATAAATTAAGTCGATACAAATATTTTTCTAGGCTTCAATACTGGAACGGCGGTAAGTCAGTAGATCGATAAGGGGCAAAAAAAATGGACTTTGAAGATTTTGATGCGTACAGCAAGACCCGGATAGTTCATTCGGAACTATCGGGCAATACGTTCCTAAGTACAAAAACATACTATTTTCGAGATAATGCAAATGGTTCGCAACCACACAACCTTACGTTAATTGTAGTACTGTCATTGAATACATGTCTCATTTCGACGACTTGAGGACCCTCTGATCGAGAGAGGAGGAGTTTATATTATTTATCGAAAGTGTTTTTTTGTCGGTAAGCCACATCATCGTTAATTCTTCACCAAATCTTAAGATTGAGCCACCAAATTTGAATGTTGCCTTCCCCTGCAGGCCGGCAAAATAGTCCAATGAACCCGAAAATTCAGGAAAAAAACGTTATGAAAGAAAAGAAATTAAAAAACTTTATTTGCGAATAACCCAAAAATTACAAAATTTTCCCTGGGCTATGTACATGACTATATAAAAGATTACTAATTTCCAACAAAGGGAAAAAAACCCGTCGAAACCGGACAATTTTTAACAAAGATACAGCTTATTGAAATTTGTAAACATGTTGGTTTCAAATCTTAATGTAGTTTTAAATTAATTTTTGTTTCCTTTGTCAATTATATTTATCGAGGAAGTAACAATTGATTCTTCATCTTATGATACGTTGCATTATTTTATTTTCTTATTAATTTAGCATTTGATCACTTTGATAACAGTGCGAATTTCTTGCAAGGCTCTACTAATCAATAAATATTATCGAAAAAATAAAACAAAAAGTTCTTAAAAGTTCTTAAAAGTTCAGCACCATCAAAAATGTACTTAACGACTTTTAATAATAAACCGACGATATTTTGTAAAAATCATCTTTTAATAATGCTTTATCATTCTCAACAATTGATTCTATTCTGCAAATAACTGAATATATGGATATCAATTTCTAGCTAATATAGCAAACTAAATTTCATTCTCATTTTTAAATTTAGCCAATATCACTTATAGCAAGCATTGATTCTCAAAATTATATCATTTAAAACATTCTTTCTTTTTTTTTTTTTTTGCCGAGTTGATAAAATGAGCCACATCAAAAGTTACCACGGCTCACGAGCTACGGGTTGGGCTTCCCAGAGTTAAAACCATAAGGATTACTTCTTTGGAAATATTTTACAGAACGTATCCGTAAAATTTGAGAAAAATGGATTGTCCTGGGTAAAAATGAATACTTACATGAAAATCAAATTTTGCCTATGAATATTTTAGTCAAACCAACTATCGGGTCAAATATTGTTATAAACTAGTTAATTAGCTATAAGTTAGTAAAGTAGGACTTTAAGGAGTTGGAATTTGATTCGTAAAAATGGCCAAATTTTCATCTGAGATCAATGTGGTATGGAAATTTAAGTTTTTTATTAGTGCTAGATAAAAAGGATATCCATCCTTTTTCTTCTAAATTTTTTTCAAAGGTAATTTTATACGTATCTACCTTAATATCAGCCATGGTTTACTCTGTGATTGGGATTGTCCTGTAGCATATCCAGAATCTATAAAGTGGAAAAAGAAACCAAGCTCTTCCTTGGGTAGAAGGATGATCCTGAAGGTAGGATGTGGATGCAGGTTACGTTATCTCCTAGCATATTTTATGAACAAGAATAGGAACATCCTTTTCTTAAGACCCTTCATGAGTTCTAGTGGTGTACGTTTTATCTTTACCTTGACTTGTACATTAATAAAAAAAATATTCATGCTTTAAATTACGTTATTTATTACCAATACACGATTGATTTATTTTTCTTCTGTCACATTCTTTTATTTTAATTGAGGAAATGTTATAACTTATTATACTGCTGGCATATTCAACGTTTATCGATTAAGTGATTTGTAAATTTATTGTCCATAGAATTATTTTTAAAAATTTCATTAAAAACAGGAAGTAACAAGTTATATATCGTTATTAGCATATAACGATTAAATTTTTTTCCAGAATACATTTTTACTACACTACCTCTGTCTTTATGTCAAGTTAAAAAAAAAAAAATACAATTGAATCTATGTTTAACAAGCAAGCATCACTCCTAAGTTTTTCATAAAAATTTAATATTTTTACAGAATTCAGTATTTTATGATATTTTATACTTTTCATTACTACTAGAAGCTGATCGATTTAAATCATCGAATTTATTCTTCACAATGTAGAAAACAATTTATATTATTAGTTCAGTAAGTAAGTAAATTTGAAAAAAAACAACAACATGTTTTTCGTCATTTTTTAACATTTCGAAAAAGAGATGATCAGAATGTTTTTATTTTTATTTTTAGTTAATGAGTAATATAACATTCTGTCTATTTATAGTGATTAATAGTTATAGTGACGTAAGTCCGCATTCACACTATGAAAACAGAAGCAAAATAACAACTATATAATAATCAAATAACTTAAACATAAATAAATTTAAAAAAGAACACATACATACCATCAGAAATTAAGATCAGAATATTAAATACATTAAAATTCATTTCCATATTAAACTAAGAAATATTCTTAAGATCAATATTAATTGTACGTTTTTTGCTTTATTTAAAAAATTCACCAACATAAGAATACTTTCGATAGATCTTAACTTTATGTACATCTTTATAATTTTTTATCTTATTTATCGGTACGAAAAAAAAAATGCAATGTTATCTAAATGACAAAAACTTATATATATATCAAATATAGTTACATTAAGTGAATTTTGTTCAGATGTCACTAAGGGAAAATACATATAAGTATTTAGTGATTTATTTTTATAAAATACCACTTCATGACTTTTTGCAATAAATCGACACTGTTTTGCGAAAGACTTTGTTCTCGCCAAAATTAGTTCGTGGAACTCTCAACTCCTTCAGAATAGAACTAACTATCTCATTTTTGCAGCAAACCTTTGATTTATATAAATGAATAAGTCTGCTTTAAAAGGTACTAAACGCCATTTATTCGAAATCGAGATTAAAGTGTTTTTTCTAGTTATTTTGTGTTAAACAGTTTAAATCATAAATGGTAAACAAAAAAAATCAATTTTAAAGTACTCAGAAAGAAACTTATCTATGTAAAACTCTGGCCATAGTTTGTTAAGTCAAAAAATGGTCACAACGAACTCTGTAAATTGAGATAATTTTCTAATCCTTCTAAACACCAAGATGAAGTTAGTCAATTTATAGTTCTTATCTAGGCCTCTAAAATTTTTAGTATTGTGATTTACCAACTTCTTCACGGTGGTTGGAAGATGCCCTCAATTTACAGGACTCGTTCGGACTATTTTTCGACATATTAACTAGTTTTGGCCAGAGACTATATATACATTGTTTTTTATATGAAGTCACATCCATGGAAACGTGGACTTATTATTCATATAAATAGTGAACATAAATTCATTATTTTAAAACGATTTATAAACAGTATTAATTCATATACCACTGAATTCGGTGTGATATTTCCAATCGCTCCTTCCAACCCACTTGTAATCCTCATCGCGATTTCCATACAGAATGTCTCCCAGTGTAGACTTCAAGTCAGAATATATACCTCCAGGGACTTTGGTCTCCGTCAGCATACCTTAGGTAAGTAAACAATAAAGAAAACATATTAAAATATTCTGAGTAAAAGTATAATAAAGTTTAAGAATTTGTGTACTTACTTCCGTTTGAGTGAGAGACGTACCATCGTGTACTCAATTGTAATACCCTATCACAACTGATGATCGGCACTAACGCAAATATAAGAAATATTAATTTCATTTTGTATTTATAACTCAAAATCGATGGAGCAGCATGGATGGTCAGGATATGAAGACCTGCCGTACAATGAGAGCGTTTATCTTGTTTGCCCAGCTTTTAAACCTTATCACCCCCTCTCGCGAAGACAATTACTTTTAAGAGGGACCAATGTCATTAATAATCAAAGTTGCCGAAAACTGATTGTAGAGGTATTTTAATCTACTATAAATCAAATCATTTCATAAAAAAAAAATGTTTACAATAATTATAATGACTTTCGTTTCTAGTTTCTGAAACTCGATTGAAATATAATAAAATAATGATCGAGGTCGAGTAATGATGTATGTATGATTTCTTTAAACAAAAATCACTAAATTATTATTTAAATGTTAAAAGAAATATTTCTTCTTAAAATTTAGGCAAGCAAAACTCATGATGAAGGAATTCACTGGATACAAACTGGATTATCCATTCATATTTAGCTATTTTTACCTCACTGTGGATAGCCATCATAATAAGTTATTTGTATAATTCTTGTAATATTTCTTATAGATCGAAACTGAGTTTCAAATTATGAATTGAATATGTCGATCATTAGATTAGATTATTCATTATATAATGAAATAATATAATTAGGCTTATTTAGAATTTATTTTAATATGACTCATCATAACAAGTAGGTTAAAATATGGTTATAAAATATCAATACACCTAAATTTAGGATTGTTGTGACAATGTTACAATATTCCTTATCAATATTGATATCGACCTTTGGTGCCGATATTAAGATAATATCGAATCAAAATCATCGATATCTAATAGAAGTTTTTACGAGATACATAACACATGCGCACTATATCGTCGGCTCATGTCGAAAAGTCATGAAGTGACATTTTATAACCTAAAATTATTAAGAATTTTGATGAACTTTCTCTTTGTGAAATCAGAAACACACTCCCAAGTGTGCACTCCCAAGGAGAGGATACAGTCTGTGATTCACCGATTTCAACCCTTTATTTTTTGGTGATACTACATCGAAAAATATTAGGCACTTATTCCGGCGCTCTTTCCAATGGATCCTAGAAGCCGAGAAAAAAAATATATTTTATATAATTTCAGACAAAATTTATATTCTTTATTTTCAATAATGAACTATAGTAATCTTCGTGGTAATTCGAAAATTTTAGGTTCTACGTTTCACGATACGCGGAACTCGAAAATTAGATATTTTTTTTTGTCCGTCCGCCGTCCGCGGCTTTTCTTGGAGACTACTGGACCGATTTTTTTTCAAATTTGGGATCAAAGCCAGAGGTCATCCGAGGATGATCTTCCTACCTCCACATTACTATCCGCCCTTTCCTTCCAAGATGGTGGCCGAAAATCCTGTGTTGGTATAGACCATAGCGCCTAAACGAAGTCTTCTCCTCGATGATCTTTAAATTTATCTATATAATGCACTTCAACCAAAAGAAGCTGCAAAAAAGTTACGAAGGGTGCTAAAATTAGATTTCCGAATAACTTAAGAAGTATACAGTTTTTTGTAATTTTTATAATCAGATGTTTCAAAGAATTCTCTAAAAAACAAAAAAAAAAAAATCATCGAAGTCATATCATTGTTAGAAAAGATACCGCGGTTTTAAATTATTTTTGGTTTATTATTTCTAAGTTAACGATTTTTACTAAAAAACGAAAAACAAATCGTTGAAATCGGACAATTTGGAGCAAAGATATGGTGTTCTAAATATTGTTTATATGTTTAACTGCAAAGCTTATATCTTTTGTTTCGGTTTTTGGTATTTTGAAAGTTTTACACCAACTTTAGCAATGTTTTCTATTTCTGGATAGTAATGTTAATTTTGACAAATAACTTTGGATTTAATTTTTTTTTAACGCTAGAAATTAAGAAAAACTTCAATCAATTTTTATTTTATATTTTTAGTTTTAATTTCTTTACGAAGGTTACCATTTTGTATAGCAGACAGACCCATAAATCTATACCAATTTTCATGTGGATCGATGAAGATTTTTAAAACTATACTGAGTCCGGTCTTTTATAGCTCAAAACCGTCCTGTTCTTTTTTTTTTTAGATAAATCGTGATTCTTACCGAAAGCCTCTTAGATGCAATAGTTGCCACGGAATACTTTTCAAGTTATATTTAGGTTTTAAAAATAAAACATTTCGCTACTGTTAGTGCAAAAGGTCGTATGTAAAATTTAACTTTTACATAAAAGCATATATATCATTCATATTTCTTTATGATTTACTAACGTAATTTCATATTTTATTTCCTTCTGCTATTTTCCTATTCAGCAGACTACTTAAAAAAAGTAGTGGACTGCAAAATGTCACCTTTAAGGCAAAGAGAATCAATATGTAACATTGTTATATAAGACCTTGTGTTTTTTTTTTTCAAATAGGGTGCATTCTTTGTGATTGTATAGTGTTTCACTGATTGTTTCTGTTATAATTATGTAATTATATATACTTTTTAATAAATTATTTTATATAATTATTGATTATAAAAAATTCAGTGAAGAATCGTCTTATATCGATAAGCAAGAAAAGAAATTTAATTTTGTTGAATTATGCACTAATATATATTCTAATAAGCAAGAATACAAAATGTTGCGAAATAAATCTAAATTTATTTCATAAACCATTTTTCTTTATTTAAACAAATACATAATAGGCAAGGTTGAAATTTACTATCTGCAAATTTTTAAAAATATTTGAAGCAGTTCCGTAGAAAATGCACTTATGCGACCGAAAACCAGTGCCTACGTAGGTGTCTACAAGCTTCTACCACACCATTCTGTACACATAAATGGCGTAGTTATAGTGATATAATAACGTTTTTGGTACATTATATTGGTTTTATTAACAAACAAATATAAATGCAATCATTTAATCGTAAAAAAAAATTAAACAATGTTTTTAAAAATTTATTATTTTATTTTATTTTTTTATTTAACTTACTTTATTCTATACGGAGGTCGTTTAAGTAGATATCTATTGTAAAAATGATATAATTATAATAATAAAATTTAATTGAAAGATACTTTGCTGAATATCTTGAATTTTTTATTTAACGTTTGTAAGTTAACACTTAGTTTTGTATATTTACTGATTCTTAGGGATTATTTAAATTGTATATATTTTTCAGGAAATGAGTCATATCAATACGTGTTTAATATATATATAATCTGAACTACATATAATGAATTTTTGACGGATTGTTTAGTAAAACGTATTGTTATGAAATGCGGAATAAATTGTTCGGAAGTTGGACCGTATCATAAAAAATTGGAAATTTGGAAAACAAAAGAAATGCATTATTCCCTCTGCACAAATAAAGATGGAAAGGGCGAAACTATAAGTTCTCCTAGTAACTGAAACTAATTGTTTGGATCTGATGTGAAAATGAGGAAAAACGCGAAATTGAACCCAAAAATTGGAAAAATACATAGAGCGAACGAGAAAGGAACTGCCAAAATCTCGGAAAAGAAAGAAAGGACCAGTATCCATTATATGGCTGAACGAATGTATAGTAGACAGATGAACAGAATATTTCAAGATGCTGCTAAAAGGCACTCTATTATTTTCTGACTATTCAGCTTTAATGAAAGACCAACCATGAGGAAATTAAGCCAAGTGCTGATTCTCAGTGACCAAAAACTAACTAAAATAAAAGTCGTCAATCAGCCATCTTTAGACGCCATTTTGGGGCAGTGGTTTCACTTTTTTTTATGGGAACATTGGCTTTTTTTAAATAACTAGTTACAAGGGACGGGATGTGGGGGTAAGGGAGGGGTGCAGGATAGCACTAGCGGATCCAGGATTTAATTTTGGGGGGGGGCTTCAGCCCGGAAGATTTTTTTTTCATAAAAATAACGATATTTACTTTGGAAAAACAGAAAGAAACTAACTATCTATAAGAAATGGTGTTTAAGTGATTACTTAAGTCCTTTTAAATGTAATTAAACCAACAATAATACTTTAAGAGGTATTTTTTAATTTTTTTCCCTCATAAAACGTGGTTATGTTTTACCATTTCGGGGGGGGGGCTTCAGCCCGAAAGCCCCCCCCCCCGTAGATCCGCCCATGCAGGATAGGGAGGTCTTACAGTACTTTAGTATTGTAATGAGCACCATTTGCGAAAAACCTCATAGTTTTTTAGATATTCTTAAAAAACTAAAAACATGTCAGTTTTCTGTTCTTTCCCCCTCCCTCCATCCAAACCTGACTTCAGGTTCTTTGAAACATTTTACCAGTTATTCTGGGGAGGTAATGAACAATTTCTGACAAGTTTCATCTTTATTTTTTTGATTTTGGGGTAAGGCTGTTTTTCCTACTAACTTTACTGGACTAATAACCCATTCTTGTTAAATACTATTTACAAAATATACATATTTAAATACTCTTAATTAAATAAATCCATTAATGAAGTTAAGTATTAAAATATACAAATTTAATTATTAATATTTATAATTAAATTAATAATATAAATTAAGAGTTAAATGTTAGACAGGTATTTTAATTACAAAATTTTAGTACCAGCAAGAAGAAAAAAAGTTTATTATTTAATCTTAGGTTATTATGGGCTATTAAAAAGACCAATGCTTGTTCTTTTAATCTAATATAAAAATTTTTAATACATTTAACGGCCTTGTGATATAAATAGAGCCCTTATGAAAAATAAAAACGGAAGGAAAGTAATGGAATCAGAACCAATTTTGTTTTGATTACAAATTATGTAAAATAATAATTGTCACTTAATTATATAATAAGTTAAATGTATTTCAATTGACTGTCATTAGTATATGTAAAAATCTTTATAATTTGTGGCATTGTTCTATTGTCATTGAAAGCTAAACAGGATTCCCATACTCATACATTTTCAGGATATTTTTTTTTTAAATATAAAATTTTTGTAGTGGGTGCTTCACACCCTTGATAGTTTTTATAATTTTTTTTTTTGTAATGGTGTATCGATAATAGGAATTTAGCAATGGGTCATTT